TCTTTACACTGCCTCCAAAGTTTCTGCAGTGGCACTACTAATTGTTTTGCTTCTATATCCGCTAGTGACTGCTGCCATGTATGAGTGCTTCACATATGTGCTCAACACTAGTTAGAGACAGTCATTTCATTTAATCTTCTCATACATTTTAAGAGTTGCAGGTGATGCTGAAGCCATTTTACAGGTCAAGAAATTGAGATGCAGCTAAGTCAGGCACTTTACTCATGACTTCATTTCTGGTTATATGTACTCTTGTTTAGCCTCTGGGATCATACCTTCCAGCTCCTGTCCTAAAATGGGGGTGGTCGTGTTTTTATCCACCATAGCATCCCCTCACTCTCAGAGGAGACTCTAGCTCCAAACCCAGACTCACTGGGAGAGAAAAAAAGTTCTTTAGTAGACTGGAGCATATGTAAATTGGTAAAGGAATCTGTGTTGATAAATGGAAAGAAGTTACATATTCTGTGGCTCAGCCATTCTACAACTAAGAATACACCCTGAGGAAATCATCAGAGTGCACGTTTGTCCATAAGAATGCACACTGGAGCATTACTTGTATCAGTGAAAACAAACTTCAAGTCCAATAAGAAAGGGATGGTTAAGTTGTATATAGTCTGTACACATATCCAGATTATAATAATTGTTAAGATATATTGAGTGCTTACCAAATGCCACTGATCGCTTCAAGGGCTTTACTGGTGTTAACTCATGTAATCCATGTGATGGATTACAGAGTGATCCTTAAAATAAGACTGCACAGGAATACTTACGGATAAGGAATACTTATCTTTTTTTGTTTTGGCTGTGCAGCTGCAGGATCTGACCAGAGATCGAACACATGCCCCCTGCAGTGGAAACATAGAGTCTTAACCACTGGACCACCAGGGAAGTCCCATTCATGATCGATTGTTGAATGAAAGAAGCATATTACAAAATTATATTTAAAAACTATAAGTTTATATCAATTTGATTCATAATTGCCAAAATGTGGAAATAACCAAGATGCCCTACTGTAGATGAATGAGCAAATAAAGTGTGGTACATAAAATAATGAAATATTACTCAGTACTAAAAAGTAATGAGCTATGCAGCCATGAAATGACATAGAAGAAAATTCAATGAATATTTCTAAGTGAAAGAAGCCCATCTGAAAAGGCTACATACTATATCATTCCAACTATATGACATTCTAAAAAAGGCAAAACTATAAAAACAGTAAAAACATCAGTCGTTGATTGCCAGAGGATATGGAGCTGGTGGGAAGGGATGCCAGGCGGAAGACAGAGGTTTTTAGGGCAGTGAAAATACTGTAAAGGATACCATAATGATGGACACAGGTCACCATACATTTGTTCAGACTCGTAAGTATTAAGACACCAAGAGTGACCCATAATGTAAACAAAGTATGGACTTCAGGCAATAACAGTATGTCAAAGTAAGCTCATCCATTATAACAAATGTCCCATTCTGGTGTGGGCTGTTGATAACATGGGAAGCTATGCATATGGGGGCAGGGAGTATTTGGGTAATCTGTACCTTCCCCTCAATTTTTCCATGACCCTTAAACAGCTCTTTAAAAAAGTCTTAAAAAAAAAAAGATACAACTACATAGTGAAAGTAAAATGACACTAATTAGGTCTAAAAATGGAATTACTGTTTTTATTTGGAGAATATTCCAAAATAATAATCATTTATTTCTTTTTAAAAAACTGGTTTTAAACACATTAAAAAAAAAATGTAGTCAAGGTATTAGATGACATCTGAAGACCTGATGGCCAGAGCATCAGGTGAGGTCACTGATAAACAAATGGGAGATGAGCCCAGCTGGCACCACGGCCAGGGAGCCAATGACCCTGGGGCTGACCACAGGGGCCCTCAGCAAAGTAACCCAACCAGGGCCCCTCTCTGCTGTGGGCCCCTCCTACTGCCCTATTTGCTCAGAAGTTCTGCTCCTGTGAGGTCCTGGCACTGGGTCAGGAGGGAAGAATCCAGTCACTCTGGCCAGCACTAAATAGAGAGTTCAGGGCCTGACATTCCCAGGACCGAGATCAAAGCTCTTATTCTAGCTGTGAGGGGACTTCACTGTCTGACTTCTGCTGGTTTCATGGACTTGGTTCCTCATGGTTCTCTGTCACAGAACTTCACTCCAGAAAGACCATTTTCTCCTAACTTTCCCCTGTACCCATCACGCACTTTCCTCCTCCTGCACATTTTCCAAACTTTCCTGCCCTCAACTCCAAAAATATCCTTCTTTGTTTCATGTCTATGGATGATGCTGATGAAACATGATGTTGACGCAACTGCTCTAAACTTAGGTGTAATCACAATAATAATAGCTACCATTTATTTAGCAGTTAGCATGCATTCTTTAAATACATTGAATCCCACTTAATCTTTACAGCTCATCTGTGGGCAGGTACCAGTGTCCTTCCTTACAGATACTGAAGACTCAGTGAGGTGAAGTAACATTTCAAAGGTCTCATCGTCAATAAATGGTAGAAATAAACCTCAATTCCAGGTCTGTCTGTGTGACTCACAAAGTGCTTCCACACTCATGACATTATTTGATCTTCCCATAATCTGTGAGGGTGGCTGGGCAGGTACAGTCATCCTCATTTTACTGATGAGGAAACTGCTAGCAAATGGTAATGGAGGTTTGGGTCTATGAATTCAGGTTTCCTAAACTCTCTTAGGTGTAGAAAACATTGATTATGCTGATGGACCAGTCATGCTGCTTTATTCTGAATTCAGTTCAATCTAGGATTTAGACTTTCATTTATTCTCTGAAGTGCAATTCTGAAATCATCAGGGCTCAGGAGAGGCACTGATGGAAAAGTCCCCCTCTGGATGGTGTATCAGATATGTGTGCTTGATGTGAATACACACAGTCGTGAATAAAACTGCCAACAAACCAGCATTAAAGAAGAGATGTGAAGTTAAATTCAAGGAGAAATGAACAGTTATGCTAGAGGATGGGACAAATAGAGAAAGCAGCATTGAAATATGACCATATGTAAATACATATGACCATATGTAAATGTGTGTGTGTGTTCGTCACTCAGCTGAATCCACCTCTTTGTGAACCCATGGACTGTAGCCCACTAGGCTCCTCTGTCCATGGAACAGTCCTGGCAAGAATACTGAAGTGGTAGCCACTCTCTTCTCCAGGGTATCTTCCCAACCCACCGTACGTAAAATAGATAGCTAATGGGAAGCTGCTGTATACCACAAGGAGCTCAACCTCGTGCTCTGAGACAGCCGAGAGGGCTGGGTTGGGGTGGGAGGTTGGAGGGAGGTTCAAGAGGGAAGGAATATATGTACACCTATGGCTGATTCAGTTGATGTGTGGCAGAAACCAACACAACATTGTAAAGCAATTATCCTCCAATCAAAAATAAATCTTTAAAAATTAAACAAACAGTATAAACAAGCAAAACCCACTCAAGTCCTAAGAATAAGGAACAGAAGTTTCCCTGTTGTAAAGGTGTGCCCTTTGACCCCTATTATTCGGAACTAAAACCACACTTGTGAGGAGCCCTGCATTCCAGAGCAGATATGCTCATAAGCCAGGGGACTGTGATTATTTTGGGGTCCCAATAGTTTGTCCCTTACCCTGCCACTAAGGATCATCATACAAAATATTTGACCTATTTCTTCCTTACGAAACACTTCTTGGCCGTGAATTTGTTGGCTGAACCCAGTGGTTCACCTCTTTGCTACATCTCTGTACAAACATGTTTGGTTGTTTATTTGATCAGGGCAACTTATAGCCAATGTCCCAGAGGAGCCAGTGGGTGGCCCAGGAAGGGAACAAACATTTAGAAAGCCCTCAACGCATGACTTTCATCTGATTTCACTTGTCCTCAGTCTGAGTACACTCTGAGTAGCCCTGGGCTCAGCCAGGCCCCCATGACCTGTTTAAGGTTTGGCAGAGAGGAAGACTGACTCAAGAGTGTGGACCCAACTTGAGGAACCACAATAAAAAGATAACTAGAAATAGTTTCTTTACATACACTCTAATTTCTGCAATCCTTTCCTTAGGACAGGACAGGAGCTGAGGACAGCACATATGTGCTTAGTCATGTCCCACTCTTTGCAACTTCATGGACTGAACTTCCATGCAACTGCCATCAGACTCCTCTGTCTGTGGAATTTTCCAGGCAAGAATACTGGAGTGGGTTGCCATTTCCTACGCTAGAGGATGTGGCATTTTTCTTGGGGATGGCATTTATGAAAGAGTGTATGAGTTGCGGGGGCCACTTGGATTTCTTTGGCTTTTTCATCTGTCCAAATATCTAGCTTTCCTGATTCTCTTTACCACAAGCGAGGGTCCTGAGACTGCACCTGGGTATCAGGACCACAGCAAGAGGAGGCAGGAACGTACAGTCCTCAAGCACACCCTGCTGGGGAAACCCTGTGGTCCCCAGAGCAGGACATCACTGGGACCCCAGATCATTCAGTGCTTTGCAGGGCTGAAGCTCTCCTTCTGTGCCTGTGATCTGCAACAGTGAAGTTTATGACCCTGGGGTGATCTCTTCTGGCTCAAGAGGTCTGAAAAGCAAGTCAATTAGCTATGCGATAGAAAACAGCTTTCTTTTTTTCTGCCAAAGAGAGTTATTTCCAGTAGATTTCTATGTGGCCTGTTCCCGTTTCTGCTCCTCTCTCTAATCAGCTGAGCTTTTGCCACAGAGGTGGTGTTGTTGTGGTTTAGTCACCTATTATTTGAATGGATGTGACATTAACATTTCCCCATGTCAATAAGAATGGTTCAAAAGTAGCGCTTGTATCCCAGCAAAATATTACATTGTCTGGGACTTTCCTGGTGGCCCAGTGGTAAAGATTCTTCACACTGGTAATGCAGGGAGCCCAGGTTCCTTCCCCGGCCAAGGAACTAGATCCCATGTGCCACAGCTAAGACCTGGAGCAGGCAAAGGAATAAATATTTTTTTTAATTGTATTGTTTGGTTGTACCATAACTGAAGTTTAATCATTTATTCCAGAAAGAAGCGGGGACCTCTGTGGGCACAGACTCGGTTCCTAACAGACCTCCCTGGATGAAGCTGTGTATCATCAGCATTGATCTGTGTCATCAGCACTACAGGCACACCCCGTCTCCCCAACTAAGACAATCCAGAGACAATTCCCATCACTTCAGGGTCAGCAGACAGGTGTGGCCTGGCTCTCGGTTCGGGTTCTTCTATAAAATCCAAAAAGCCTGATAGGCTTTGGCCTACAGAAGGAGAGTTTTCCCAGTGGGGTGTGTTAAGATTCTATGCTTTAAGTAGACCAGTTTACTTTTAATGTCAATCCTGAAAGAAATTAAATGGGAAGTTCCTGTTAGATGTAAGCTGTGTATAGTGTTTATGGAAACCAGAGAAACTTCTCGGTGAGCCCACATGAATTCACCCAGGCGTCAGGGTCTGAGTGGGTCAACGCCAGACACTTAACATGAACAGAAGGGCAGACACAGGCCTGGAAAGCTCCCTGTGTGCCGAGCAGATGCCCTGAAGCCTCATGGCATTGTCTGTAGGTTGATGGCATCTGTGGCAGGATACCCAAGGTTCAAGCCCATCGTTTTTGCCTGTCTCTCACCTCATCGGATGGCCCCCGCAGATCTGCCCTAGTCACCCTCCCAGCCTCACGACCCAGGCACTGGTGCCAGTGCAGGTGGCCCTCTATTGACGTCTTTTCTTTACCTGTGGGTTCCCTCTGTCCCCACGTGCACCTTCCTTACCACTGTGAGACAGACCCTTGAATGTATGACACATGCGGCGCCATTGTGTGTTCACATGTATTTTAGTTAATAGGATTAGTAGTGGGCTTGAGACCCTACTCTATTTCTTATCTTTCTCCCTCTGCCCTGTATTGTTGCTGTGTCTGTATGGTTTGTTGTTCCTCAGGCCTCTATCAGTTTGATGTCAAGAAAACCAAAACCACCAGATGAAAATTACACTTTTCAGCAGTTCTGTCTGGTGCTGACTTGCTGAGATTCCAAGACCGAAGCAAATGTTATCAATTTTAGCTTTGCATTTCACTCACAAGGAATTAATCTCGAGGCAAATAATATCAGATTTCCCCTCATCTAATTTACTGTAAACCACCCACTAAGACTGGAAGGCATTTAAAATTGGGCTCCTCCTTTGGGTCCCACAAAGATTCTGGGTAGAGCTGGGGGGATCACATAGCCCCAAAAAGGTCCCCTAGGAGTCCAGGTCAGGGTGGACCCCACATCTGAGCAGTGCTGTGGTCTCACCCCACAGCACATCCACTGGACTCCTGTCTTTATCTGGTAGGACCCTGAAAGAAAGGGGTCCCCAGGGCAACCCCATGATCTCTCTGCTGGGCCTGCTCAGGGCTCCCCACAAGGGCCCACCATGCCCTGCACCCAGCTCCCCCTTACAGGTGAGGGCAAGGTGCTTCTTTCCAGACCCTGGGAGACAGAAGGCAGACTCCATCCACTGTACCCTTTTCAAGTCTCCAAATTCATGCATTCTGCCCCTTTGCACTACCACAGGACATTAGCCTTAAAACCACAAATGTTTTCTGGATGTAAGGAGGGGTCAAGATCTTAAGAACAGCAAAGTCTGATTCTCTTCCTAGAAGAAGAGAGATAGCTTTCATTTTTTCCTAATTAGTCATAAGCCCACTCTGTCCCCACCCCACAAAGATAAACAGAAATACTTAAACAAAATATTCATGAAACTAAACAATCAAATTTCTCAACCTCTCACTCCACATTGTATCACTGCTACACTGATATTTACTGAGCACTTACTGCACTCTGGATGCTCTCCTAGGCACCTGAGAGAAGCAAGCTCATTTAATCTGCACAGCAATTCTGCATGGAAGAAATAAGTGTCTCTGTTCTCCAGATGATGAACATGAGACTTAAAAATAAATGTCAGGGAACTTGCTCAGAGTCAGGTAGCAGAGTCAGGACTGGCACCTACCTGATGCTCAAGGTTGAGATTTGTGTAAATACTTCGGGCTGAATGGACTTTTAAACTCGATGCCTTTTAGAAAACTGCATACCATCTGCTAAGCCTCCCTTTGTCTAATGGTAAGGATGACTTGCTGGACTGCCGTGCATTCTGCCTGCCCCATCCAGGGCTCTGCCAGCTACAGAAATTCATCCTGTCATGTCTCGTGCTGCCCTGGCTTCACTGCCTTCCTGGGATGAGCAGGGCCAGGCTCTTTCACAAAAAGTTGACAAGAAGTTCAGCCATAAGGAAACTGACCTCCGACTCATTCTCCCTCTTCTCACTTTCAGGGCGATTGTTTATATCTGGACAAAACAAGACAGCAAAAGGAAGATCTTATAGTTGGATGTCCAATAATGGGTACCACAAACCCCCCAACACACATCCTGAAGAGAGGCTCCCACTTGCTGTGAGGTCTCCACTGGCCAAGTATGACCTTGACTTTGTGGATTCTCCCTTCTTTTGAGGCCAAACAAGTCTGTTGCTCTGCCAGCCCACCCACGGCCCCTTGGTTATGTCAACTTGCAGAAGCAGGAAGCATCATTCATCTGCCGCATGTTTCCAACTATGGAAAATTAATTCCAAAGGACAGACTCATGAATCTACTTATAAAGGTGTGACACTGGCACATTTCTTCACTGTAGGAATGCCCATGACTCTGTGCCAGCTACCTCGAACATGGGGAAATCGTTTCTCATCAATTGCACCTTTTAGCACAACAGTTTCTTAAGCTGTAGGTGTAGAAGAAATTGGCCCAGTCTGACAGATGGAGAAACTGAGGCAAAGAGGACAAAGGGCTTGTCATCAGAGCTAGAGAGCAGAACCTGTTTCATATTTTTTTCCTCAGACTAAGTTTCTCCACCTACTACTATACGGACCCTCACCAAGTTTATGACCCTTAAAATGCCTTTTATTTCTAAAAATCCAAAACTAATAATTATAGCCCCAAGAACTTAGTGCCACTGCAGCTTCCGAGGCCAGGAAAGGGTACTCAGTAGGAGCCTGATGCTGGAGCAGTGCTGCCCCCTGGTGCCCACAGGGAGTATTCCCAGCTTTCCCTAGATGGGGATCCTGGCACGTACTTGCTCCCCACTTCATCTTCTCCAGAGAAGTGGGCAGGGCACCGGATGAGGGCAGACGGGCCTCCATCCACACACCCATTCCTATAAATTCACCACTTGCTAGGCAATGTCAGCAGGCTTTTCAAGTGGCCAAAATAACGCTGTGAGGCCCACTGTATGCTGCCACAACCCCAGGAGGAGCACACGAGTGTGTGTCCAACTCCTTTTCCAGACAGGCCCCCCATCCACCAAGAACATGGTAAGGCCTGGGGACACCTAGTCCTGTGTGCGCTCCGACCTAGCCAAGCTGACACTCCAAGCAGAGATCAGTGCCTCCCCTTCCCCAGCCACCAGAAACCTGATGCCCTACTGTCCTTGACCTCTGCCCAAAACGGGCACCCCTAGGGTGATCACCCTACCCTGAGCCTAGCTTCTCCCTGACCCAGTCCCATTCCTCCTGAGCATTTCGCAGAGATAGCAAACTCCTCTGATACAGGCTGAAGGTTCCTTCCACCTCCTGCTCTCCCAGCTCTTCTCAGATCTGGCCTCTTTGTGATGCTCATGTCCCCGTGAGAACAAGCAAGAGAAAGAAGACCCACTATCAGGCAGACTGGGCAAGGCCACATCAAGATACGCAGAGGCTGTAAACCCTCTAAGCCTAATGGTCCCCCCCTTCCCACTCATCTATCCAATTCAAAATAAAAACAATCTGAAACTGTAAACAGTCCAAGAAAATTTAAGATTCTGAAAAAAATCTTGGTTTCCCATGAAAAGCAATTTGATGGCTTTTTAAAAAATATCACTTCAAAATTTCCCCTGCCCCACTTTTTGGAGACATAAGCAGAACTTTGCCATACCTGCTGGGCATTGCCCACAGTGTTGGGGAGGGAGGGAAGTGAGGCAGAGGGTGGAGTCTCTGAGGTAAGAACAGGAGTGGGTGGAGACAGTGGTGGGATGGGGAGAGGGAACTTGAGATTTCAGAGGAACAGGGCTTGAGGAGGGAGCTGCAGGAGAGGGGAAGGTCTCTAGAGATGAGGTGGCTATGATAGCCCCAGTCATGGGGCCTAAGGAGGACAGGGGGTCTCTGGGAGGTCACCAAGGTCTCCTGCCCATTGTGCTAATCTGGGCTTTGAATGGGCTACACTGCATTCAAGAACAGTCTTAGTCATTCTATGTCTTGGGGAGACTTGGAGACAGTATGCTAAAGGTCCAGGTCCAGGTCAGTCCCCCCGGAAAGGAAAGGGAGAATGAAGTGGTGATGACTCACCAACTGGTGCTCCCAGGGAGATGAGATGCAAGGCTGCGGAAGGCACCTGATCGTGGTGCTGGCTGCTTAGAGACTGGCGGTCCATTTTAATCTTGCGTGGTTTGCAAACAGTTCAAACCCTAGCTCTTCCATTTACATGACTCCAAACTCCAGTTAAGTTACTTGACTGCTTCAGGGTGGTAGAATAGTAGAGAGGTAAATTCAATGTTTTTTCTCTTAACTAGCTTTTAAATTATAAAATACATATATGTATATAATTAAAACTTCCATTGAAACCATTTTTTAAGTGTACAATTCAGTGACATGAATTACATTGACAATGTGCAGCCATCACTACCATTTTCAAAAATTTCCCATACTCCAAACCAAAACTCTGCACCCATTAAACAGTAACTCCCATATCCCCTCCCCCAAGGGCCCAGTAACATCTGGCCTTTCTATCCTTATAATTTGCCTATTCTAGATATTTCTTATAAATGGAATTACATTTGTCTTATTGTGTTCGGTGTCTTTTTTTTTTTTTCATATAGCATGTTCATCCATATTGTAGCCTGTGTCAGAATTTCCTTCCTTTTTATGGTTGATGAATATAGTCCGCTGTATATGTTGATATACACCATGTTCTGTTTATCCTTACATCTGTCCATGGACACTCAGGTTGCTTCCTTGTGGCTATCGTGAATAATGCTGCTGAACACAAATGTGCAAGTATCTGCTCTCATCCCTGCTTTTCCCTCTTCTGGGTATATACGCAGAAGTGGAATTTCTGGGTCAAATGGTAATTCTATATTTAACATTTTAAGGAACCTTTTAAACTGTTCATGCTTTATGTTTGGTTGTAATGTTTTGTTCAAGAGTCTTACTTTTGTAACATTCTTAAAACTCTTCCCCTTAAACAAATAAAAATAAAAGGTCTTGAAGTATTTCTTAAAACAATATAAAATCCAACAATTGAGTGGTGTGGAATTCAGGGGCGCCGGGCACTCTGGAAAGCCGCCTCCCGGCATGGGTCTCAGCGTGCCTGGGCATGCGGCCACCTTCTGTCCCAACAGTCTCCATCCGCCGCTGATGCTCAAATGGGAGTAAGAAGGAAGAGGCTGTGCCCACAGACCGTAGGGCGGCGTCGACTCAGTGCTGCGTTGAAGAGCCAGGCCCTGTGCAGGCGTCTGCGGCCGCCAGGGGGCAGCACGGAGCCTGCCTTCCACAGCACTGGTGAACCGGGCAGGGGCTACCACCTTCCACTGCTTTCATCTTCAAGGTGGCGGGGGATTCCTGTGCTGGAAGTCTTGCTGCAGGGCGGGAAAAATCTTGGCTGGCCCGGGCTCAGAGATCGGATAGAGAGAATGAGAATGAATGAATGAGAACGAGTCCATCCCACGTGGCAGAGAGAAGCGACACCTAGACTTAGGTGTCAACCTGGCCACTTGATCCCATCCAAGCAAAGTGCAGTGTACACAATATGAACACAAAAATATATATATATTTGAAGATAAGGACACTCAAGCAGGTCCATGTAGCAAGGGACTTGAGGCCTCCTGACATCAACCTGTCATTAATCTGACAAAGAGGATCTATGTTTTTAAGTTTTATTAAAAGCTCATTAAATTTCATCAAGTTTTAACTATTATGAGGATTTGTTTCTAGGAAATACACACCTAACAACCTAATTCAAAGGGCACAGGGCTGCAAATGACTCAAAAATGGTTCAGAAAAAAGTACTTTTTGCCAAAGCTGAAAATCAGCAGGAAAAAAATTCCATAAATATCTAGAAGTGGGGAAGAATTAGAGACTCTGTTGGAGGTACCAATAGGAAGCCAACCCTGTGAGGGGCTGTTGGAGAAGGAAATGGCAACCCACTCCAGTATCCTTGCCTGGAAAATCTCATGGACGAAGAGCCTGGTGGGCTGCAGTCCATGGGGTCGCCGAGTCGGGCACAACTGAGCAACTAACAATTACACCTGTGAGGGGGGAGTGCTGAGATGTGGGCTTTGGGTGCATCCATGACCCGAGGAGGAGGGGCCCCTGGAAACCCTGGCCCAGGGTGGGCAGCAAGGAGGGACAGAGAGAGTTGAAGGCTCATGAGGGCCAAGGTTCAGGGGCTGCCAGGTGGAGCTCCCACAACAGCCAACACAGAACTAGAGTGTGGGATATGCATGGGTTGAGCACAAATGCCCAGGTTGGGTGAAGAATCTGTACCTCATTCACCCATAATCCCTAGGAGGAGAAGTCTGTAGGGGAGCAGCGGTGCTGGGTGGCTCACAGTTATCTCTGTGACCACGGCTCTGCCACCCAGCCTCCTGGGTCTGCTGTAGATCTTCCCTTTTTCACACTTTCAGGCAGGGGGAGAACTCCTGCTCTCTTTTCTGGTTCAAACTGTAAAGATGGAGTTAACTAAGTCCCTGGGTTGGGTCTATGGGGACATTTGATCTGAGTGGGGATGGGGGCAGTGGATAGAACATTTTACATGATGACTCACAGAAAACTTGACAGAGGCTTGTGAACCTAAAGGCACCGATTTGCTGGCTTTGTTCAAGATGTGTAAGCCTATAGAAACTCCCATATTTGGGCAAGATGTGTACAGAAATGTTCACAGCATTATTTGTAAACATGTTTATTAAAATATTTAAATAATTTTATTAAACTAAAATTTGAAAAAATATTTATTAAACAAAAGAAGATATAATATAGCAGTGACCTCCTGGCATTCAGCTTTTAGTACAGCTGCCTCCCACACTGAACAGGGCTGAGCTCCATCAACAATAAATGGCATATTGCAGAAAGGGCATTATGTGACCTTCAAAGCTAGATCATAAGAGGCATCGTGGCTTACACCTTGCTCTCTCTTGGATCACTTGTTCTAGAGAAAAAACCCGTCACCATGTCACAAGGACTTTCAAGGAGCCCTACGGAGAAGTCCATGTAGCAAAGGACTGAGGCCTCCTGAAAATCCACTTACCAGTGATCCAACTAAGCCATCTTGAATGCCAGCCCTCCGGACATCTAAATGACAGTCCCCAGTCAGAACCACCCAACTAATCTCTGACCTGCAGAAACTAAGAAATGTTATTATTAAACCGTAATAAAC